TTTCAGGAAAAGTAATTCAGAGATAAAGAATTAATGATGACGGAAAAAAAGACAATAGAGTAAGACTGAAATAAGTCTAAAATTTTAATTCATAACAACTATTAATTATGAGTTTAACATATTTTCATCTCTAAATATAAAGTTTAAATTATACATAATACTTAGAATATAATTACTGATAAGTGGGTAAGAAAGCATTTACAAATACATTTGCATATAGGGGTGCCTGGGTGGCTCAGCCTAAGTTCCGACTTCAGCTCAGGTCATGATCTCACGGTTGGTGGGTTCGAGCCCCGCATTGGGCTCTGTGCTGACAGCTCAGAGCCTGGAGCCTGCTTTGGATTCTGTTTCTCCCTCTCTCTGCCCCCTCTCCAGCTCATATTCTGTCTCTGTCTCTCTCTCTCTCAAAAATAAACATTAAAAAAAACCCAAATACATTTGCAGATAAAATTTCATATTAACTCATCCAACTAACAGATCTCTGATATATTTTCTTCAACATAGTTATCCATGTTCTGTATCATGTGAACTCCTTGCCCTGACCACATAAACCAATCACCTTTGACCACAGCTGTTGGAATCAGGGGTGTCTCCTGGTTCTGTCTCCAAGGACAGTTGATCTGTATTCTTTTCAGTGACCTAGAAGGCAGTCCAGCAAAAAGCATAGCGAAATTGAAATACAGCATTGATACTCGATTGTTCAACTACTTCTATATTTTCTCTTTAAAAATTTGATTGTGACACATCAAGAGAGAGTATGTAGTTGGAAGGGTAGAGAACAGAAGTTAAATGGACACAGAGAGAGGAGAAAAGAGCAGATGCCACGAGGAAACTAAAGCTATGAGAGAACTGGATCCTGGTGACATGTGGAGTCAGGAGTGAGGCAACTGGTTGGTAGAAGGAGGAGAAATATTAGCGGAAACATGCAGGATCAGATGAGGGAGAAGGAAGCAACATAACAGCTGCTGAGATGAGTCAAGGAGTATGAACACCCAAGGGCTTTCTAGTTTTCCAAACTACATCCTAGGCTCTGTGAAACCAAGCTTTTCCTGTATTTCCATAGGGCTCTCTCTTGTGGCTGAAATTCCTTGGTCTCTTACTTTCACATGGGTTATTTGAAGCCCTACTGTTTGAGGTGTCTAAAAGAATCTAACTAGTATACTATGTAAAGGAGTTTGGGCTTTAATCTCAAAACATTAGAAAATCATAAAAGGCTTCATACTTTGATTTTAGAAAGAGGACTCTGACACAAGTGTGGAAAATAAATTAAAAATGGACTAGAGAGAGGTAGGGGTTATACATTGGGAATTGTTGTTTTAAACCAGTGGGAGATGATGATGGCCTGAGAATGGAGAAAATGGATGAACTGAAATTTACAAAGGGTGATGAATGTAACAGAGTTTGATTCAGCTTAGATGTAGAGGATAAGGGAGGGGTAAGAGTCAAGTTTGATTCTTAGTTTCCTGATATGGGTAACCAGATGGATAGTGGCAACCAATTTCTCTCATTGAGAAAGATAATGTATGAAGAGAATCAACCTCTTTTTGGGAAGGAGTATAGGTGCCAATGAGACTTCCAGGTAAGGATGTCCAGTAGGCAGCGGAATATTCACGTTTGGATCTCACACAAGAGCTCTGGAGTTACACATTTATGTATAAGGGCTTGATATCATGATTCTCAGAGATATTCCAGTAACAGTTTCTTGTTTTATTCCCTTAGTACTAAATTGAGGAATGTACTTGGACTAGGCTGTGTTAGCCTAGGGAAGCTGAGCATCAAAGGAGTTTTCATGTCTAAGTATTCTCTGCAGGCTTCCTTAGCTATCACGCTGTGCATTATATAACTTGAGATTGATGAACTTCCTTGCCTAAGTGAGATGGTCTCTAGAGAATGCTATGTATAGGACCAATCTATCTTTACATATATAAGGTAGGGCAAGAAGGGGAAGTGAAGTTTCTAGAAGGTCTGATGTTATGTATTCCAGAAAGTTTGAATATTTGGAAGGTTTAGAAACTTGAATGTCCATCTCTTAGCTGATATTGCAACCACATACCTGCTGTAGTATTTCTGTTAATCTGACATTCTATTGCTATTTGTCAATATTGAGGTTATACAGGGTGTCATCAATAGGTTGGTATTTATAGGGGCACCTGGGTGGCTCAATCAGTTGAGCGTCCGACTTCGGCTCAGGTCATGATCTCACGGTTTGTGAATTTGGCCCCACACGGGGCTCTGTGCTGACAGCTCAGAGCCTGGAGCCTGCTTTGGAATCTGAGTCTCCCTCACTTTCTGCCCCTCCCCTGCTTGCGCTCTGTCTCTCTCTCAAAAATATACACTAAAAATTTTTTTTAAAATAGGTTGGTAGTAATTGAAACCATTGGTGTGCATATTTTCCAGAGTAGAAAATAAAGAAAAGAAAGTAAATAATAGAATTCTGGGAAATACTAATCTCTAAGGAGTAGGTAGAAGAGAGAAAAATCCAAGAGGAGAATAAGTGAATGATGGTGAAATCTGAGGGATTGAACAACTAGAAAGGTAAAATGAGTTACATATGTATTTCACCATCACCTGGGACAGATATTTTAGAATGTCATTGGACAAGTTTTCTTGTTACATATGAATATATGCTCATTGTTAAATAAATACATTTTCCAAAAGATTCACAACAAAGGCTCAGAAAAAAAGACACAGGTTTCCTAATTTTCAACTAGGAGTTTAAAGCTTATTGATAACTAAGTCTTTTTATTTAAACATTCTTTAATGTTTATTTTTTTTGAGAGAGAGAGAGAGAGAGAGAGAGAGA